GGAAGTAGGCCTGCGGCTCGAAGTACCGCCCCACGTGGGCCGGCTCGCGGTGGTTGCCCAGGTCGGCCTGTAGCCCGTAGGCGGCCAGCAGGAAGTAGGCCTCCTCGCGGTGGGCGCACTGGGACCCCAGCACTCGCTCCTTCAGGTGGCAGTAGTACAGGTGCCGGGCCGCCTTGTCCCTGGGAGGCAGCAGGCGGTCCTCACGCGGGGCCGGCTCCCGCTGTCCCCGTCCTGCCCTCCACAGCCCCAGGCCCTCCCCGCCCTCCAGGTCCTCACGTCCCTGTCACACCCGGCCGCTTCCCAGGGCTGGCACAGGTGAACTTGCTGTCGGTCACTCCTGTCCCTGAGGACCCTGTGCCAAAGTCACCTCCTTCCCCAGCCAGGGGTGGCCTCCAGCATCCCCACAGCCCGGCCGCAGTGGTCAGCCTTCCACGCAGTCACACTCCACCTTCCAGAACCTTCCGCAGTCACACCCGCTCTCCAGAACCTTCCGCACACTCACACCCCGCTCTCCAGAACCTTCCGCAGTCACACCCCGCTCTCCAGAACCTTCCGCAGTCACACCCACTCTCCAGAACCTTCCACACACTCACACCCCGCTCTCCAGAACCTTCCGCAGTCACACCCCGCTCTCCAGAACCTTCCGCAGTCACACCCCGCTCTCCAGAACCTTCCGCAGTCACACCCTCCCTCTCACAGCTCCACCTCAGAAGGTTCATGGGGCCACCGGCCCCCCTGCCCTGTGCAGCGAATTCCCAGAGACACGGCCCCGCTCACCTGCCCTGGTCTGGGGGTAACTCGGGTTCCTAGGTCGCCCCGGGAGCTCCATGTCACCCGCAAGCCCTAGGGCAGGTCCCCAGTGACTGAGACGAGCGGGGGGCCCTGCCCGGACCCCTTTCCCACCCAGCTCCGACACCCGCTGCTACGCCACACAGAGCGAGCAGAGCCCCCGCAGACGGCCGCACACCGGCTGGGCCCCCTGGGGGACCCCGGGGACCGAGGGCTCCGCCTCTGGAGCGCTGCGTCCCAGTGCAGTCGGCACACGTTCCAGCGAAGGGAGTGACCGCAGCCCCAGCCCGGCGAAGGGACAGCAGTGCCACGTCCTCCGCAGGACGCCTGTCCCCTCTCGGGGCCTCACCACTCCGGGGACTGTCCTCGAAGTCGGCCGGCAGTTACCTCATGACTCTCCCGTTCTCCACGTAGTGCTGCACGCTGAGGAAGGTCTCGAAGGGGCCCCCGGGCCTCCCGGCTCCCTGCAGGGCGAAGGCGACAGAAAGGACCGTGCCGCGGTCACCGCCGTCACTTCGCCCCAGCTGCAGGCTCCCGCTCAGGTCCGACAGCGGGCAGTCCGCGCGCTCAGCCCCCTGCTCAGCAGGACGGCCGCGGACTGTCGGCTGTCGCACGGACGAGCACTGGCCGACAGCGCGTGTCACCAGCGGGCAGCGCCGTGGGCAGGACGGCCCCGCTGTGCAGGGTCCCCCCACCCCCCAGCGCCCCGCTTACCTGCCGCCTTCCTCGCCCCCAGTCCTTGGGGAAGTACTTGCTGAGCT